CTTAATACAATTTCCAATGTTAGCACCAGTATGAGGATAGGGAAGTAACTCAAAAGATATTAAAAGAGATATAAGATAATATCCTAGTTGCTAAAGCGACGTCCACACATCACATATAAGAGAGATTCTGCTTTTAGCATTTTGAAGTATTTTTCTTATTAAGTTTTTTTTTCATCATATCCTTTCATAACATCTCACTTTACTGTATCAGCACTCATACTAAAGCAAGATAAAATCCCACTTAGAAATTTATAAAAAGCCAGGTTTTTTAACAAATTGAAAACAAAGTTTATCCTGAATTATCATATCTACCAGGTCTTTTCGACTTGGATTTTCTATATATTGTTATTTATTTAAAATAGAAAAATTCAAATGGGTTTGACCATTTGATTGTTCATTATATGTTTCATTCTTTTTAAATTTATTACAAGATTTGAGATAGCACCAAAGATGTAATATTCTGGTACCTTTTTTATGAGCTAGAATACTTTTGCAATATTTACATTTTGCCTTTGGTTTATTTGATAATAATGTAAAGTGATTTCAAACCACCAAAGTATTTCTTGAAAATGTTGTTGAACTTGTGGCTGTAGCAGTGGTGGTGTTGTCAGCAGGAGGAGATACTAGTATGGATAATGAAGTCACAGAGTCAATAAAGATTCCATTTTGAATATCTATTGTATTAGTAGAAATTATGTTTTGAATATCTATTGTATTAGTAGAGGTTACATTTTGAACATCTATTGTATCAGTTGAGATTACATTTATTGCAAGTATAATTCTTATTTGGCCAAGAGCACACTAAACAACTAGTGTTATAACAGTTAGAAAAACTTGATCTACTTAAAATTTTAATTAAGAGTGGTATATTCGTTTAATTTACCCTATTTTTTTTTTTAATTTTTTTTAATTTATTTTTTGGTTAATTTGTAATTTACACCTTCAACTACAATCTCTCTAGTATTTCTTTACTGATTATGCAGATTTTTCTTGAGAAAAATATCTGCTTATTAATCTCTTTTTTTCTTTTATATATTAAGATTATACAAAGTTTAAGTTATACAAAATTTTAGCCAATTAAAGTTTAAGTCTTGTGCTCATGTGATTTTTTGTAGTACAATGATAGATACTCTTTAATACCTAGGGCTTGCTTATTAATCACTTTTTTCTTTTATATGTTAAAATTATACAAAGTTTAAGTCGTATAAAATTTTAGCCAATTAAAGTTTAAATCTTGTGCCTATGTAATTTTTTGTAGTACAATGATGGATACTCTTCGATATCCAGGGCTAAATATATCTAGATTCAAGTCCTACTAGGGTATTAATATTCAAGCCCTATTAAGCCCTATCTTCTTTTAAGTAGGGTTGTGGGCATGGCATACTTATAGGCATGTTTTGAAACCAAAGAGCATGTCTAAATCACATGACACAAAGCAATTACTTCTATTGGCTAGAAGTCATATTAGGGGAGTGCCATTTATCACCTGATTTTTAGGATAGGGGGAGGGTCAGAAAAATATCAGGTCCTAATATAATAATAGCTTTTGATTGGTTAAAATTATTAAAAGTATAAAAAATTT